AAGAGAAATACTTGTTTCCTTTTCTTCAATTGAACTTCCAATATACACCTAAATAAAGAGGACCACAATTTCTGGCCTGTTTTGTTGTCATACTTGGAAACATCAGGATTCAGTGGGTCCACCAACTCAATTTGGGGATTTATTTTCTCAATTTGGAGAAGACAAGATCAAATTGAAAGGTGGTTTGCATTTACTGGAAAATATACATACAAGAGTGGTTTTAAAACAAAATTCTTTGACACATCTTTGATGGGAGGTGAGATCTGTTTGCTCCCTGTGAACCTGTGGGCTCTGTAACTACTTGACTATTAGAACACAATAGAGTGCTACTGTCCGTCTGTGCCTCCAGACTCTAAGGAATAGGTTGCTTCCACTGCTTGTTTCTTAGTTCACTCTAGGAACCTAAGTACCATGGGTGAGGAAGCCTGGCTGCCCAGCTGGGAGGATGATTTGGATAGGAACATGCTGTCAGGATATTATGTGAATAAGCCTCCCTGGGAGGGGGCATCTTCCCTACCTTGAGTCCATGGTTCCCATAATTATTTTCAGCATAGCAGGCAATATAGGATGTGAACTTGAAAAACAGATTATATGGAAGTTATGTTCATGGTTTGTTTTAGTCAGCTTTTTTTTTTCTTGTGACTAAAAGTCCCAACCAGAACCACTGCAGAGGAGGAAAAGTTTGTGGGCCACAGTTTCAGTCCATAGACAACCAGCTCCATTCCTTGGGGCTTGAGGTGAGGCTGAACATCATGGTGGAAAAGTGTGGTAGAGGGAAGTAGCTCACATGATAATCAGTAAGCAGAGACTGACTCACTCCACTCACCAGGTACAAAATATATATCCCAAAGTCACCCCTGGAATGACCCACCTCCTCCAGCCACACCCTACCCACTTCCAGTTAACCCTATCAGGGATTGATTCAGGATTGCATTAAGGCTCTCAGAGCCAGAACATTTCTCCTCTAAACCTTCTTCATTGCCTCACACATGAGCTTTGGGGGGATACCTCACATCCAAACCATAACATGGTTACTATATTCCTCTTCTAAATCTGAACTCAAGTTATTCATTGACTAACATAAAATACGATGTGTGATGCAGATCAAAATTAGGAGAGTTTTATTACTGACCTTTGCAATCTGGTATTATTGATACCAGTCCATTGGAAATCAGGAACAGTTCCTTATTCCCTGGTGTTGAAGATTAATCACCCAAGAAACACTGAGGCAAGTATAGAGAGCAGGTTTTATTTAAGAAAGTGATAGAGACAGATTTCTCCAAAGAGAAGTGTGGCTTCAGAGCCAAAAGCCCATGGGAGGAGCTGGGTCTTGCTCTTTACAGACCTCAGAAACCCCCTTATCATTGTCTTCTCTTTTTCTCCCTGTGACTGAGAACACAAGGAGCTCTAGCTGTGAGGTTAATCTTAGCAACTCAGAGTGCCCAGGAGCATGAGGTTAAGAACCCATTGTTCTCTCCTTGATAACCAGTCGCCATCTTCCAGACTCCCATCATTCATTACCTACACTGACTGTTGGATCTTTGCTCCTGCCTCAGTTTGACAGATCCGGTCCACACAGGCCAGGTGGAGCTGCAGGTGGCTAGCTTTCTGGCAAGGAAAGCCTGTGGGGGTCAACACTGTGGGCTCATTTTATAAAATTATTACCTTAACCTCTTGTTCCCACTATTTGTATCTATCTGTCCCAATATTAAAGCAAAATTTGGCTACCTCATAATATATTTACTTGTTAGAGAAATCATTTCTTTTTTTTCAGGACCAGAATACAGAGACTTATGTAACCTAATTAGGAGAGATAATCCTTTCTCAAACAGTTCCAGAATTTTTATGTTTTCTTGTAGTGCCATAAAATTTAAATAACAGGCTGATAATCTCAAGGGATTAAACATACTGACAATAACATTAGCCTGAGAGAAATAAAATATTAGGAAAGTAAATTTCAAAAATATAACAAGCCAGGCATGGTGGCACATGCCTGTAATTCCAGAGGATTGGGAGGCTGAGACAGGAGGATCATAAGTTCAAAGCCAGCCTCAGCAACAGTGAGGCACTAAGCAACTCAGTGAGACCTTGTCTCTAAATAAAAATACAAAATAGGGCTGGGGATGTGGCTTAGTGGTTGAGTGTCCCTGAGTTCAATCCCCCGTACCATAAAAAAAAAATTGTGTGTGTGTATAACAAAATTTATATTATAATATCTTGTAAAAATATGAATGTATTATGACTATCTCTGTTATGATTTGGATGTGGTCTTTGTGCCCCCAAGGGTTCATTTGTTGGAGCTTTGGTGCTTCGTATAGCAAGGTTAAGAGACGGCATGTTCCTGAAGAGGTCCAGCTTGGTAGAATGTTCTTAAGTCACTGGGGGAACTGTCTTTGGAAAGGATTAAGGTTGTTATCATGGAACATTGAGTTAGTTCTTACAAGAAAGCATTATGAGAGTCTAAATACTGGATGCTTTTTGGCTTTCTGTTTTGAAATGTGAATGTCTTCCTCTGGCATACATTCCTGCCATTGTGACACCATCTGTCATTAAAGCCCTCTCTAGAGGCTGACCCTGTGGGATCACCTGATCTTAAATGTTCAGCCTCAAAACTATGAGTTAAATATCTTCTCTCTATAATAAAGTTAACCTGCTTCAGGTATTTTGTTATAGTAACAGAAAACGGACTAATACAATATCTATATAGATGTATTTCAAGTTAGCACTTTAATAACCATAGATAATTGAGTGGAGATACTTTCATTATTTAAGTACAAAGTCATTGGTTTTCTTCCCTGCCCCCAGCTTTACTAAGGAATAATTGACAAATAAAATTGCATTTATTTATAAGGTACAACTTGATATTCTGATACATATGCATAATTGTGAAATGATTAAAACAAGTTTAATGTCTATCCCCCTTCACATATTTATTCTTTTTTTTAAAGAGAGAGAGAGAGAGAGAGAGAGAGAGAGAGAGAGAGAGAGAGAGAGAGTTTTTTAATATTATTTTTTCAGTTTTTGGCAGACACA